CTTCTCACACTTTTTGTACCTTGGCGCACTGTTACAGATCTTTGTGACATCAATCAAACATGGAAAGATGCTCTTAAATCTCGACAAAATCGTGTTTCCATTCGTTCATGGAAGATCATAGAAAATATTCAACTTTTACATGAATGTAGAAAAGATCGCGATGAGCATTTACTTCAAGTTATTACTGAAGCTCAAACGGATAATGATACAATTATCGATCCCGTCCTTTTACCTGCAAATCAACACATTGATGGCGAATATGATATGGACCATAGTGAAGACTTATTAGAATTAATAGGCAATATAGATGAATACACAACTGCAGTGATTAATGTCACAAAAAGATCAACAGAAGATAAATATATTGAAGAAGCTATTGAAGCAGTCGAAAGTGTTGGACGATTTAATCATATAAATAGTAAGTAATACATTAAGATCATTAGTCAGTTGAAATTGAAAACAAAATGTAAAATTTGTTATAGCTCATAGCCAATCTTCTTTAAATGAAATTATCGATTCTGCGAATCAACAGCTTGTATCGTTCATTTCTGCAACGCCAAATCTTATTCGATTAAATACAAAATGGCAAGAACAACTGAAGATTGAAAAAGAACGAGTCAGAAAAAGTTTAATTACAGGCAACTACGCCAATGCAGATGATATATTAGATTTATATGCTGCAAAAGATGCTGTTGTAACAATGGTGAATCCAAATAATTATAATAAAAACAATTTTGAAAACTATGGCTCAATTCTTCCAGTCGTTTCAGTCGCAACCAATTTTCCCACGCAAAAAAGCATCGCTGATGAATTTACATTAACTAGAGAACAACGAGCTGCATTCATGATAATAACAAGCCATCTTGATGGCGACAGCCGATGTCTAACAGGTACCTTCATAATTTAATTTATCAGGAATTGAAGTATACAGTATTTTCAGATAATAATAATGGTCAACTTATAATGTGCATACCCGGATGTGACGGTACAGGCAAATCACAACTTATTCGTGCTCTCAGCAAATATTTTCTTGTTACGAAAAGAATGCAAATGATGCGAAAGCTTGCACCCACTGGAATTGCTGCTGCTGAAATAGGTGGTATGACAATTCATTCATTTTTGGGAGAACAACGTAATTCTGGAAAGCCACGAACTATCAAGCCAGGTGATTTAAAACTCGAAAAAGAATGGAGACTCGTCGAATATTTATTAATCGATGAAATGAGTATGGTTGGTTTGAATTTACTAGCAAAACTCAATCGAATCATTTGCTCTGCAAAACGTGTCGATCCACAAGTGCCATTTGGCGGTGTAAATGTTATCTTTTTCGGTGACTATTTACAATATCGACCTGTTTATGATGCACCATTACACACCGATTTTTCAGGACTATCGAAAAAGAAATCAGGTAAATTGCCCAATGAAAAAGAAATTCAACAACATGTTGCACGTTCTTTAATTCTTCAAAACAACTGCGTCGTAAAACTTACTCAACAGATGCGAACAGAAGATCCACGGTATCTTCAGTTACTTGAAAGACTTCGTCATGGACAATGCAACTACGACGATTATGAATTATTATTGACACGAGTTATTGGACAACCATTAGTAGGCTCTCTGCATGATGCACCTTGGAATAAAGTATGTTTTCATTTTCGTCTCCAATAATTTTCTATTTTCATCTATCTAGGCTCCGATCCTTGTGTTTCGAAATGAAGTACGAACACAATTGAACAACAAGGCAGCAATTTACAAGGCAAAATAAATGGGACAAAGACTCATGGTATGTGTCGCACAAGATACTTGGAAAGGCAAACCAATTGAAGATCCGACACTCATTAAAAAACTGTTAGAGTTATCCGATAGAAAAACTGAGCATTTACCAGGTCTGTTGCCTTTTGTTCCTGGAATGCCTGTTATATTAACACAAAACATTGCTATTGAATTGGGGCTTATTAACGGAACGAATGGAATTTTTCGACAACTTGTGTATGAAGAAGATTCTGTGTCAACAGATATTCTTTCGGAAACATTTCCAAACAACACACAATACATTCATCGACCTTTATATGCATTAGTTGAAGTTCTCAAATCGAAGATTGATTGTAATCTTGAACAACTTCAACCAAATCTCGTTCCGATACCATTAATGGAACAAACATTTCGAATTGATATTGCTGATGTTCTACCAAAAGGTAAGAAACCAAAATCAAATCGAAAGGCAATTTTATCAATAAAGCGGCGTGCACTACCACTCGTACCTGCTTATTGTATTACGACACATAAAAGTCAAGGCCAAACTTTAAATAATGTTGTAATTGATTTGAAACTGCCAAATGAAACTGATGACATTGCTGCAATTTATGTACCATTGTCACGTGTAAAACGCTTGGCTGATTTGGTCATTTTGCGACATTTTGACTACAAGGTTTTATTAATCAAACCAAGTAAATCTCAACTTGCCGAAATAGAAAGACTAGATAAATTATATTCAGAAACACAAAAGCATTTTTCTGAGTGGTTTTAATGTTCTCTTTATGTTATACAAAATTTCTTTTACAGCTGTTAACATCTGTTCTTTCACTATATAAAGTATGTTAGAATTTTTGTTTTTCCTTGTACTAATTTTTGTATTATATCTCAGTTTTTCTTTTTGTTAACATCTTTTA